ATCTGGTGAAAATTTCATGTCATTAGCACCTCTAGTAATATATTTACTGAGAAAAATGTTGACGTGTTCAATACTTATTTTACCCGCTGTATGAATACTATCCAGAAATGCCACAGTCTCCTCCGGATAAAAGGGCCGAGGCAAAGTAGAAAACTGTTCTGTGGTTAGGCAGATCCAAATTTAAAGCACTTTTAGAACACAAACATCCTCGATACTAAAACAAAAAAAAATTCTTGATAGGATTCTGGCTCCTGCATCAATTCATTTAAAATAAAACCAAGTCCGGACACGACACTCATTGGCAATCAAAGAGAATTTGTTGGACTTTCAAAATACTAATAATACATGGGGCGGCTGCGGAAGAGTGCAGAGTCGTTCTGTAACCAGTGGGTTGTCGGTTCAAACCCCCCCCCTTTCCATCCATTTCAGTTGTTGTGTCCTTGGTCAATACACTTCACCCGTCTTGCCTACATGGTGGTGGTTAGAGGGTCCGGTCACACAAGTGTATGGCAGCCCCACATCTGAGGCTACGATGTAGCTTACCACCACCAAGTGTCTTTGAGTTGTTGATATTAAAAGAATCATGTCTTCCTGTTAGTAAAATAACACTATTAAAGGGATATTATGCACTTTACAGGCACACAGTTCAGTTCTAAAACACAATCAAATCACTGTTATTCATTTACTATAAAAACGCCCCTAAATATCAAAAATAAATTTGATTTTGTGCCATCTAAGTGCCTTGAAATTGGCCTCCGTCTCTTTAAGAACCCATTTCTGACACTCCCACTTCAGCACATCTTCACAACATTTCGGGGGAGGGGTGCTCGGCTTCAGACTGAACTCCAGGGCGGAGCTTTGTACAAATAGGCGGAGCTTTGTTTAGGCAGCTCCACATGGCCACAGGAGACTCAAGGATTTCTCACACATGCATGAATGAGTCAAAACAACACTCTGGGTGTGGTTTTGATGAAGGAATGACATTATAACAAAATACAGCTCAAAAAAGCTGATTTTGCATAATGCCTCCCTTTTAAAGAGGCAGTGTGGTTGTACGACTGGATCTGCCGCCGAACCAAGTGAAGCAGGGACGCAAAAAAAAAAGCTTAATCAGCAGCGAGCCCACAAAACTATTGCACCTCTGACTGTAACTGCTCGCTGCATAAAATAAAATGCCTTGCGAGGGTTTGACCATCATAATCTGAGTTAGGAGCAAATTTACATGAGAGATTTCCTTTCTCCTTCCTGTTTTATAGCGTTTTCTGAGTGCCACATCAGCTGAATCRCAGGGGAAAGCTATCAATTTATCAGGACGTATAAAAGTTGGGAGCAGACACAGCGCCGAGGTAAAAAAAAAAAAAAAGAGGATAATTTCATGACTGAAAAATTAAGTCTATAAATTTACAACCAAACGGCCCTCGAGCAGTTTGGACTGGATTTATGTGTGGAAGCGGCCTGCCGGCGCCCTCTCACTTAAAAACCAGAAGGTTTTTTGGAATCAGTTTTCTCTCTCTGGCCTCTCAGCCGGACTGGTTGGTGCGGCTCTCCTGGGAGCTGTGGTTTCTGAAAGGTTCCTAGTTGTACTTAATCCCTCCATCTCTTTGTGTCCAGGCAAAAAAATATATATCCGCGTGAAACCCGAGAGGCTGAAAGTGGCTCAGCGGTGGGAGAAAAAAAGATGAGCTTCTTTCAACCATTTTATGGTCACAGATAAAATAAATAAATAATAATAAAAAAGGAGATAGAACTAATTGAGTCCAACAGATTCTGCAAAATCAGGAAAGGTTTAACCTTACAAAGGGCAGTCATTAAACTCTGCTTTCTGCTAGGGCTGTGTATTGGCAAGAATTTGGCGATACGATACATATCATGACAGAGAGGTCATGATACGATGTATCCCGATATATTGCGATACTGTAAGCAAGGCGATATATTGCGATTTTTTTTGTCCAAARTTTTGATTAAATAAAAACCTCTTACTGGGAAAAAAATGAAAAAAAAATTCATTGTCTCAGAAAATTCTAATATTACATAGACATACTTTTGATACATTTAGCTGTGTTCTGCTTTGTATGTATTATATTT